GTAAATGCTCATTAAAATTATTTTTAAAAAAATAAAGCTTAAGAAGAAAAAAAAGAGAGATATAAGAAATGAGAAAAAAGATAAACTAGTTAAGACCAAGAGGGATGTCAGAGTCGACTCTGAATATTACACTACAGTGCCAAGAAGCCAAAGCAAAGGAAAGAAATAAAGAACAAATAGATCTGTCTTGGAGAGAATGAAACCAAGTTTCTCCATCAAAGTAAGGATTTTGAAGCTCCATCTCAGACATTATGGGCATGTGTCCAGCAGGGACCAGTCCTTGCAGAAGGACATCATGCTTGGAAGGGTGGAGAGACAGCACAGGAGAAGACAACCCTGGATGAGATGGATTGACACAATAACTGGGACAATGGGGTTAGGTGTGATGGAGTCAGTGATACTGGCTCAGGATATGGCAGGGTTCAGAGCTATAGTTCATAGGGTCACTATGAATCGCAAGTGACTTGACGGCACGCATAACAACCACCACCACCACCACCACCACAACAACAACAACAACATATATCTTTAAATTTTATTTTGGTTTGCATACAGAAATAATATACATTGTGTATCATGCATTCTTTAATTCACATTGTGTTTCATACAATTATTCTCATATATAGCATTTTATAAAATCAATTGCCATTGATCTATGCCCATTATCATTCTGTTCTTTCAGGCTCCCAATGAGTCCATCATCCCCTTCCTCTGCCCACCAAACTCAGCAAATGAATGGACTGAGAAATTGTGGTACATTCACATGGTGGAAAACTATACAGCACTCAGGAGCAATAATTTTTTTAAATTTATTTTATTATTTTTGTGTGAGTGTACCATCAAATCAGATCTGACTGGTACAGGAGGAGATAGTCCCTCCTTCCCCGGCAGAGCATCTGGTGGATTCGAACCGTGTGCCTCTGGGATTGTAGTTGCAGCTCCTTACCACTAGGCCACCACAGCTCCCCAGGAGCAATAATTTTGAAAAATACTATGTAATATAAGAGAGATTAGAGAACATTATGCAGAGTGAACTAACTCAGTCTCACAAGCACAAGTACTGCATAAGACCAATATTGTAAAAATAAAAGGATAACTAGTAAGGTGTATAAAAGTCCAAAAAGGGGAGGGAGTGGGGTCAGGGAGGATAAGGATAGGATGGAGTGACCTCATGGGCTCTTATGATTTCCTGTAATAGTGTAAAAAGAAGATGGAACGAGTATACAGTCACTATACCAAAAGGAATTGAATTGATGAAAAGAATTTCGTGAAACAACATACAAACTAGTGCCTGTGGTGATGAAGAATGAACTCCAAGGTGCTCTGAAAGAATTGGCAAAAAAACAAGACCTCAATAATTGATTATACGGCTTGATAGCCCCACTGGTAGCTGCTTGTGGTTGGGCTCTGAGGACTGGCATGGCCATAGCAGGCACGTTGGTACGGAAGGCAGCTGACTATGTCCGCATCAAGGACATCAGGGACTACCTCATGAGCAAGCACTTCTAGGGGCGGGGCCAGTAGCCAACTAGGGTCTCCCCATCGCTGCCATCAATGACATGTAGACGTCTCCGGAGATCATCAGCGACCCAATAACTTTTGCTCTCTGCTGTTACTCTCTGAGAATGGCCTACAAGGTCCAGCCTTGAAACTGGCTCCTGTTTGCATGCCATGTGACCAAGAAG